CCAAGGATCGACCCATACAAGTGTCACACCAAGGAATTTGATGGAATCCACTAACTTTAATTCTATGCCCTGAAATTTAGGGTTTTTAAAATTACCTAATGTTCTTCTCCTGCTAAACATTATCAATTCGATTGGTCGATGGGTCGACTATCAGCCCTCTCACACTACACATTCATGCTAATAAATACATTCATTCTCAATAAAAATGATGAATGGTGGAGTGAGTACAGTGTTCAATCCTTTTAAAAAGATAGTTCCTACTCACAATAAGAGGATCTCTTATTGTGAATAGGAACTATCTTTTTAAAAGGATTCATTCTCAATGTACACTAAGAAACATAAGAAGATCAATAAAGTATTATATACAGTAAAATACTCCTGTTTCCTCCAAAAATTGGAACAGGGGTCACAGATATTGGTGCCGTACTCAAGCACAATTCTCATATAAGGTGGCATTCCTACACGCACTCTATATAGAGCTAAGGAATTGCACCCTTCAATTAGATGGGACACATCGAGCAACTTTTCTCTGGACACATACCCTCATTTTGGCCCAAAAGATGTGTGTGTCAACCTCGCATGGCCTATCCTTAATCAATGACATTTCTTCTACCAATCAGGTCTGCCGAGGGCTCATGATACGCAATTTTTATTAAATGTTTATAATTATACATAATTATCGGATTTGAGAGAAGTAGATGCTCTTTTTTTTCACTTGCTCTTTCCAATTCAGCTTAGCGTCTAGGGTCATTCTGAGATATTTAACTGTATTACATTGGTATGATGGCTCATTTTTTTTGTGAAATTTATATGTTCTAATTTGACCAATTGAATCAAATATAGATATACATCATATATATTACCATGATATATCTGATGTATCTTTTTGAATTTTGTTGGCGCTAAGGGTTGAAATGGACTAGCTACCGATAAGCAGGATACGGCGGATTCCCCATTATTATGAATGGACTGTACTTGTTACAATGGTAGTGAGGAGAAGGGTGAGAATTTCCAGGGGCTTTGGTGGGATTCAGACCAACTCGGGCAATTACAAGCTAAGAGGTGGACTAAAACTCGAGACCATCATGGCCTTCTTTAATAGACCTAACATGGTACTTTTGTCTTTCCTACACGGAATATAATGTATCAAACTTCACTTCTCTCCTATGGATTTTTTGAAAGATTAATTTTTTTCATTATTATTTAAGAAATATTTTTTTAACACAAGAACAAATGGATGGGATATTAGAGGATGGTTTAAAACAAAATAGATTTTTTTGAAATAAGTCAGTCTATAATTCCTGTAGTTTTTTATGGTTTAAATTTACAAAAAATATATAATGCACTATAAAAAATAAATTTTCTTCATAGGCACAAGATGCACACATTACCAAATATAGAGGTTAATATCAGCTTAAAGTTGTAATATTACTCAATTTACAAAATTGTTCGGTTCTCAAAAGTAGTACAGGTATTTGAACTCATCGCTAAACAAGTGAACCTTTAATATCAAAAATTTATAAAATCTTAATTAACAGGTCACAAAAAATAAGTGATAAAATGGGAGCCCGGTAATCTGTCAAAGATAAACAAATACAATAACAATGAAAAAATTTAACAAATTTTAACATTTTTAAACATAAAAAACATAACAAAGAAAAATCAAAACACAAAAATATATATCTATATATTTTACGTTGTGTCAATTATGATAATCAGCTAGAACAGAATAAAGGGTTAGCTGCACAAACAAAAATAACACGTAGCATAAGTACTTCATATTAAAACGACATCTAGTATGCCAAATCAACTTAAAACTTATACAAACTGAATCGTTTGAAATTTGAAAATAAAAAACTACATTTTTATCCCATTTTTCTTCCTCGCCCATGTTTCAAATTTTTACCTCAAAAAAATAAGACAATACAAAAATTATTGAAGCAAATTATGACCATAATGATGAGATGATCCTAAATGATAAGACAAATGAAAAAATTTAAAGTTGTTTGCTCTGGCTTTGAATTAAAAAAACTTCAATCTCAGCAAAGAGAAATTGATAAAATTAAACTATAATTTATCATAAAAATTTAACCTGATGTGACAATGTAACAATTGAAAACTTTAAAAATATTGTCATTTATAACTTACTCTACTAAATTACATTTACATTTATTTAACATAAAAAGAAGCTAAGAAATAAACAGGTTTTGTCATGTTAACTGCACTAGTTTGCGTTACAATATATGAAAATGTTATTTAATCAACACTAATATGCACAAAGTCAATTTGTAGTACATATTGATAAATATTTCGCAGGAAAAGTTGGTCAATATTCAGGGTTTTGTCTTAAAGGCACTGATCATTACAAATTTGACTAGTAAATAAGCAGCTTTTCATTTAGAATAATACATCATGTTTACTTTTCTTACATAATTGAAAGAAAATTATTATCTTAACCCAAAAGTTTGAATAGATTTAAATTTACTGATCTTTTATCAATAGCTGATACGCTTTAAATTTTACAAACTAACCAAATAACAGGTTTGTATTAAAATAATTTATACGTTTCTTGTTACAAATGTCTTATAGTTGGGCTTAAATAAAGAATTAAAAAAATACACCATACGCATTGTTGCAATCATACGAAGTCCGTTAATTTACATTTAAACTGTAATATAAAAAGTGGGTAGCGTAAGAGAAGCTTCTTGACCTTAGTGATGATAAGCTAATTAGAATTGTATTAATTCAAGAGAAAAAAATGTAAAAAAAATTATAACATTATTGTATATACAATTAGTTGTAGATAATCGGTGGGAAAATTAAAAACGATGTTCCATAGTGAAAAAATTTTGTATTATGGATGTGATTTTTTGACTTTGATAAACGTTGGTTGCACATAAATTGTACAATGTAATTTTGTAAAAAATTTTGAATTGTTGTTAGTTTTGTCTGTTGATTTGCCAGGGTTTATTTTATTTTATTTTTTTTTACTAAAAGAAAAATGTAAGCCCTGTTGGCATTGGTTGGTTTTGATTTTCTCAACAACCTTCTAAATTCTAAAACTGTAAAAAATACACCGAATAAATAATTGTGATATACCAGGGAAATATATTTATTCACGCAATTCACAGATTGATTTTACAAAATAGGATCGCTACCCACTTTTGTCATAGCCTTTGAAGAGTTCAGTGAAAGGACAATGTAAAGTATTCAATCACAATGTATTCGAAAATAGTACAATATTTCTGGAACAAATAAGATTTGTGCTCTTGATTTTTTTTTTTTTTTTTTCAGTCTTAAAATGTCACAAAGTTGGCAATTCTTATATTTGTAATTGTTAGAATCAGATCTAGAAATAGTTTAATCTATTATACAATCAGTTACCCAATTATATATAAAATATAATAACATACATTGTTTTGTTGGTTTTTAACATTTTTTAATAATAACTAATAAGTAAATTTTGAATGAACTCGTTCATGAAATGGTAACTATTATAAATTAAAAGTATTAAGTTAGCTTTCTTCTTGACAATTCTTTGAAAGAATTAGTTTGAATAAAACAAAGATTACAAAAATCTTTACGCCATAATTTTTATTTTTAAAATGTTACAATTATATGACAACAGTGGGTATATAAACTTTGAAAGAACAAACTAAATAATTCCTACAACCCATTATCAAATTTAATTTTTTTTTTTTTTAAGACTAAATGGGAATGCTAAGTGTAACCATGGAATTTTAATGGAATGACATGTTTAAGTAATAGCCTATATTAAACCCAATCAAATGCTATATTTGAAAATATATGAACCTTCATTGATTATACCTCTAGGGCCAGATTTTGTTGAAGAATTCCATGAACGTATCATAAATCATGAAAGTTATGGCGACGTCCAAACAGACTCGAGAAAGTCTGGGTACAGTACCTTTGTAGAACCTAAAATGAAAAGAAAAAGTTAATTGTGGTCAATGGGTTCATTTAATTAACATCTTACGCAAGTGGTCCTTCGTTTATCCAAATTGTCTGGAAACAATGCCAAGTGTTTTTGTATTTATGTGCTTCGAGACCCTGCATTCTTGTCTTCACAACATCGATCGGGGTGTTACCGAACACACTTGCTGCACCAGCAACAGCACCAAATGCTCCAACAACCTAAATATAAGTGGTTATAGTTGATAGTTATAGGTCTGAAGATAAAGCCTTTATTAACTTATGATTTCAAGCTGAGTTGAATATTTACTTATTCCTCTGTATAAATATCCTATTTCTTTATTAGTATTCAAGTCAGGGGGTCATTTATTTTTTACTAATTATTGGGGGAAAAATTTGTTTTGAAAGGTAATTTTTTTTAAACAGAAGACTGCATTTACTTTAATTAAAAATTGGTACCTAAAATAATTTAGTTTACAATATATGGAGGGCTCAACAACCAACTACAGTGAAATTTCCGTATAATTGACACTCTTAGGTAACGAAAGTAATGAAATATTGTCCACTGTAGGAGATGTCCGCTTTTGGGATAAGAGTGAGAAAAAAATGATAATGTTACAAAATGGGCCACCAATTGGGATTACAAGGTATCACCTCTGAAATAGCGAGCGTTTTAAGCCTTTTCTATGATCAAAGAGTATTTCAAATTCACCGAGCATACTTTTGCATAAGAGCAAAGATTTTAAGCTTTAAATTAATTTAATTTAAAGTTCCTTTGTAATTTGTTTTCTCTTACTCTTTGTTTTCTCTTAAAGTGCTTTAAAAAATAAGGGCATCTCATTGCAATTTTTTGGGGTTCAAAATTGGTGCAATAATGTTGAAGTTTTTCCATCCCCGTTTGTCCAACCTCTTTCCTTCGTTCTATTAACGGCCTAAAAAGAAATCTTATGCCATGTTCTAAATTTGTTCAGCCAACCTGTTTTATGTTTGTAATGTTTTAAAATCCGTTTGCTCCATTTTTTGTTTAAATTATTTTGCAACATCTAAGACCTTTTCCCAGATAAGCGGGCTTTATTATGAGCTTCCTCAGCCTGACCAAACCGTTAATTCAAGTGTATCAGTACACACACAATTGGAGTGATGAAAATCAGCAATTGACCAAAAACACCTAATTGGCTAATTGTAAGGGGGTTGTTTTTCACCAGGATAAAACTGTTTGCAGATGCACGAGAAATTGTTGAAGCTTTATTTGGGTGTGCTACCCTACCCACCATATTAGCCTAATATCACTTCTTCAAATTTTCAATTATTACATCTACAAAACAAGAAAAAATTTGACTTGAGCACTCAAAGACCTGAGAAGTTTTGGGATGACGGAATACAAAATTACATAGGCAAAGAGGGTAGCAGAATAAAATATTTATTTTATACATTTTTGATTAAATGTACCTGAAATTTTTCTCGACTTTACCATCATAAAATGCTAAAAACTTATTTTATGACCTGATATAAACTACAAAAAAAAACAGCTTGAAACAATACTACCGGTGATATTTTAATATATGAATATTTGATAAGGCCTAAAACTTAAAATTTGTTCATTGTAATAAAAGGCACTTACATATTTTGGAACTTGGACTTTAGGATCTCCTCCCCTATATTTGTCTTTTAGAGTTTCCATTACATAAAACCTAATAGCCTGATTACTTCCTTGTTTCAAAATTGTCGCTACAACACCCTTATATACTCCACCAATTCCTGAAACATAAAATCCTCGATTAAATAGCATAAAACTAATGTAATGAATTATTTTATTAATATTTGCAAGGCGAGCAATTAATGGATTTATTAAACTGAGAGTTAACCTTGTTCTGCAATGATATGTCGAACACCATGGAAAAATCCTTTGAATTTGGGCTCGGCTGATCTTTGGTCATTGATGAACTTGACTTTAATCGTTTCCATAGGTGTAACAGCAAAAATGGCTTCACAAACTCCTGCTCCGAGACCACACATAATCCTCGCTTGTGGTGTGAGGTTACCGTTTTTGTCTACCAATTCTTGTTTAAAAGTTTCAAACGCACCAAATCTGACTGCTGATTTCGGTATTGAACCGTAAAGGAGTACACTCAGGCCTCTGTACAATCCTAACACTCCGTGCGATTTGACCGTCTTTTTAACACAGTCCATTATACCATTGTACTTCTTCGCACCTCCAATCCCACCCTTCTCATCGAGTTGTAATTGTGTCTTAACATATTCAGTCGGATATGTTATGCAGATCTCAAGACCTCCAGTGATCCCTCCTGTAAACAGTAAATTAATTTATTAACAATTAAAATTTGAAACGTTTGAGCACAAAAGTTCAAAATCAAATCATACAAGGTCTGCTGTTGTTAAAAGTGTTAATAAATTATTACAAATTAAGATATGCCATTTTAAATTCTACTAATTCAAGGCACAGAAAGACCAATTGAGATTAAAACTAAAATTTACTTCAGTCCATCCTCAAAGCAAGTAATGAGCACTTTTTTATAAGATAATTTTATATTAAAAATTTAAAGAAAACTTTATCAAAGTACTAAACGTTATCCTAGCCACACTGTCTTGTCGTAAAGATTACAGTAATAAACACATCCTAGTACACTTGTTGGACAAAAAACCAGTCACTTCTGCTAGCTGTAAAGACCAATGTCGAGCCTGTAAAACAAAAATGATGTAAACAGAAAAAAAATGAAAAATTCATGTAGAATATACCCATGTTTTCATCAAGTACAATCAGCGTGTGGGCGACATGACATTGTTGATGGATTACGGGATTTATTTAGGTTTATATAGCCTTTTTGGTCAAATTAACCCTCTTTTAGCTTCAAATTTACCTTTTTAACTTCAAATTAACCCTTTTTTACCTTTCCATTAACTTTTTTTTAATTTCAAATTAAAAATGGTTAATTTGAAACGTATCTTTTTTTTACTTCAAATTAACCCTTATAAACCTCAAATTTACCCTTTCTATATCAAATTAATCTTGTTAACTTCAAATTAACCTTTTTTTAATTCCAAATTAATCCTTTAAAACATTAAAAAACATAATGTAATGTATAAAATATAAGCATTCGTGTACATTTACAAATTTAAAAAATAATAATAATAATAATGAAAATTAATTACAATTATTTGTAGATCGTGAGATGCGGTCTGGTGTGATGTAGGTTTTAGAGAAATATTTTCTTTATCGTGCCAACGTTTCGATCTTTATTGAGATCATCTTCAGGGTTCAAAGTATTTGTTTTCCATGTAGATGTGTCATTGCTGTGTGTCGTGTTGAGAGTCAGACAAGAATAAGAAAAGAATAAGTCAGACAAGATAAAGAAAATGATTTTCTAAAACCTACGTCACACCAGACCGCATCTCACGATCTCCAAATAATCATTAACTAACTGTCACTAAACATCACACATTAATTACAATTAAAATTAAAAATGAAATATAAAAATAAAGGATTCTACCTTTAATTTGATTTTTTTTAAAATATAACATGTTCTTATCTAAAATACTACATCAAAATCAATTACAATTAAAAGTAATCTAAAATTAAATAACTAGTTTTTTAAATATCTCCCAAAAATAAAAAACACTTTTTTATGTTAATTAATTTTCATATGTAAGACATTTAAAATATACAGGAATACTTTACATGTTTATATTTCATACCATCACGTGAGTTTTTTAATGATTTAAAGAAAGGTCAATTTGAAAATTAAAATTAAAAAGGGTTAATATGAAAATTAAAAAAGTTAATTTGCCTAAAAAAAAGCTATAATACTTAAGATCACACTCTTGGCAATGTATCATGAGCGAAATATTTTTAAATTGATTAGCTCATTGTGATTTTTTCAAACTATTTTTCCAATAATTAGAACAACTAAATCTAACAAAGAAAAAAAAACTGGTCAGGTAAAATATTTTATATTATTTTGCCAAGATAAGGGTTAAAATTAGATAAGAAAGTATTATTACAAAATGCAGCTTCATATTGCTTAAAAAGGGCCGGATCATTTGACACCTTGAGATGTTGTAATGAATGAGTATTTGCCTTCTTGGAAACAATTAATTAAAAAATTAAGACAATCTATAATTGCCCCTTCAGTATTCTGGTTAGCACAAAATTCGTACTGAGGATTACTTTTAAAAGAAGCAATTAGCTTCGCAAAAGTTAACAATTGGGACATTTTTTTTTCTCCAAAGATCGAATAGCTGATAGTTCTAAACAACAGTGAAAAGCTTAAATGATATCATGTTTTAAATTAAAGCACAACACAGTCGATTATTCATGGCTTTTCAACGATGAATAATATCTGTTGTAAGAGATTCCTTTGTAAGTTGTGTTCAGTTAAATTATAAGCAGATGGATGATGTTGCCATCTCAAACGCAAACCCATGTATAATCATTTAATGTAATAGTGCCAAATATCCGTAAATAATTTAAATAGAAAAAATTAGTATGCATATTTTGTATATATTTTATAAATCTTCTATTTTTGTTATAAGGGCACAACCTTGCCTAGTGACGTAATAAAAGCATTTAATTAATTTCAGGTTTATTAGTTATTTATTCTTTGTCAATGGAATTCTTTGTCACATTATTTTATAATTGAACTTGTTCTAAATCAAGTTTTGCACACAAAGCTAAATAAAACATTTAAAAAATATTCACAAAACATGTCAATACATTTATATTAATTTCTTAACATGATTTCTGTGTATTTTAGGGATATCGATTTATGTGGGATACAAGCTAAGAAATATTTAGACATCAGTCATAAAACAAAAAGGAAAAAACTTTTTAGATGTTAGAATGTCCTTAGGCATTCTTTAATTATTATTTTTATTCTAAGGTTCCAGGTAATTTAAAAATCTGGTACTTAACCAGATCTATTATAGACTGAATCCTGCTTTATGTATATTGGCTTCATTCAATGCACAATTTTGGAAATGGAACGGATATATTGACAAAATCAAAAATTTTCCCTGTTTCAAAATGTCCATTAACCATAGTAAATAAAGCAGGAACAAATAAATTTCCTTATTTTTCAAAATTTCTAGTGGGATTTTCAAATGTTGAAGCTTCACCTACGGGATTTAAGCTATTTATTGTCAGCATTTACTTGGACAAAAGTTAAAAGCATTACATAATTTTTAGCATTATGATTTGTATATTTTCTTTAAATCCACCTAGTCTAAAAGTTATCATTTTCGCAAGTCACCTTTTCCAAAATTTCAACCAATTGGAAACTTTATATATTATATAATTATATCTTATATTATATAATATGTTATATAATCGATATCTTCTATTAATTTATCTAATTGAGGTCGATGGGGTACCCGCCACCAGTGCTCTCACACCATACATTCATGCTAATAAGTACATTCACTTTCAATATACACAAAATGAGACATTTACCAAGCAATACATACAATAAAACATGTACAATAAAACAGTCCAGTTTGTTCCAAAAATCGGAACAGAGGACCCAAAAACTTGCTGCTGTCTCGAGCCATTCCTTGGCTCCATATAGTGTAGGAATGACACCTTTTCATAAAGTGGGATACATTGAACATCCTCACCTCTTCTTGTACAACAGAGTCCTGAGATACAAGGAAATAAAGTAAAAGGAGAAGACAACATAAAATTTTGGAGACAATTAAAATGCTACAACAGTACAAAATAAGAAGAAAACTCAACTTTGACAGACCATTTCAAGTGGTCATAGATAACACGGATCTTTGCAAGAAAGGCAGTTCCAAGTTTCAGGAGGGGCCCTAATGGGTACAAATATGGTACTGCGTGTAGAGGTAAAAGGGCTGAACTATACCCTAGCAAAGCACCTTGGCGTAATCTCAACCATCTTCCAAGCTTGAGGTTCAGCAATCCAACTAGTCAGGTAATCATGCTGAACCACCACAGATGGGTTTGAGTAGTTCAACAAGCCTGCAAATGGACAGACCAATAAGTGAACCATATTTTAGTTCAGTATGAGTTCACAGACTTACTTTGACCCAGCATCAACTCTAGTCTGGGAATGCCTAATGCCCTAGGAAAGCATAAGGTTACTTTAAAGTTGGCTCCGGGACATGAAGGTATAGAGATTATAAAATTTCATTCCGTAGGTTTTTTTGTCTATATGCTAGGTTATGTTTCCATTGAGCCGTTGCTTCGCATTCAAAGATGATATGGGTGGCTGTTTCTTCCCCCTCATTACATAATCCGCAAATGGGATCATCATTATATACGCCCATGTTATGTAGATGATTTCTCAGATGCCAGCGACCTATGACTCCTCTGAGTCTGGCCCTCTCTAATTGCAGCAGTGAGTTTGCCAGTCTTGGTGAGGGTTGTTTTAGCATAAGTTTACTGTGTCTAGCGCTGCAAGAGTTTATCCACTCTCCTTTTGTTTTATTTGGATCCATTCTGTGAAGGAGGATTCTGTATTTGTTTTTCTTATCCAAAGTATAGGTTCGGGGGCCTATGATTTGTCTTGCAGATCTTCCTCTGGCCAGTGTGTCTGCTTTCTCATTACCAAAAATTCCTTTGTGTCCTGACACCCAAGATATCAGGCTGTTGTGTCTCCCCAGGTTTTGGTGATTTTGGAGACAGGCTATGAGAAAAATTATATGCCTGTATGCAAGCTCTATTAACTACCATCTCAAAAAAGATGGGCAAAACAGAGATAGAAACATGTCAGACACATCAGCACATATCCTTTGTAAATGTTGAATGAACCGGTTATAGTACAGCCAGTTTGGTCAATTTTCACACAAGATCAGCATATTACTGAACATTATTGAAATGAAAATTGGCTCATAAATACATGTAGGGTAATAGCAAAAAATTTTCTCTGGTACTGGCATTGATGGATTATACGCCACATTTTAAAAAATCCTAAGCTAAGTGCTCCAAAGTTGGCAAATATGGTTGAAAAGCATTTAAATAAAACAGTATGTGCTAAACTGTCGAGTAATTAGAAAAAATCAATTTTAAAGAAGAGTTGAAAGAAAAAAGCCATACATAAAAAATTAATCAAAATATTTGAGCTATTTAATTTTTTTTTTTTTTTTTTTTTTTTTAACATGTTCATTCGGTCACATCATATAACATGTTATGATTTTTTTTCACCACGACAGTCCGATGTCACACTGTCCCAGTATTTTCAAGAATAAAAGTGTCTTTCTGCAACCAAATTTACTTTTCGAAGTTTTTGTTTTTGAGAAATAATGTCAAATTGGAAAAAAATTCTTATTCTGCGTGAGGGCATGAGGTGAGAAAAAAATAGATATCAGATATGTGCCACCAAAAAAAAAGGTTTAAAAAAAGCGCTACATAATTCATTACGAAATCGAATGTTAACCTTGCATTTTATCTTTTGACATTTTTTTTCTGCCTTATCAGACTTTTGCACAGGATAAAAAAAAATCAAGGTGAGAGTTGAACGTTCCAAAAGAGGCCGCTTTGAAGGCCCGGAGAAGGTAAAAATTGAGAGGATGAAGAGAGTTAGTTTTATAGGAGAGACCTTCACCAGGGTTGAAGGCGACTGGTCACCTGACAATCACCGTGGCCCAAGGTGGAAGTCGTTATTTTTAGGCATTTTTTTCTTTTCCCCCTTAAATGTTTGTTTGGAGTAGGAAAGATTTTTGTTATAATTACCGGCGACTATCCCTTTCAATCCGGTATTTTTCGACGTCCCGTTGGAGGCGGCGGCGGCACCGTGGGCAGACATCCACGGTCGGAAGAGAAACGGGCTGACGGGGCCGCCTCGTCCGTCCGTCGGGTTGAACATGTTTTTCATCGTTGGAATTCTTCAGGAGACGTCGTCGCGGTGAAGAACGGGCAGAAGGAGGAGGAGAGACCGGCGAGGAAAGGAAAATCGAACAGCTACGCTGCAAACGGCGAGGACGAGTGAAATACTGACAGATCACGCCGATCACGGTCACTACGAGACAGGCCTTCCTACTTCCCAACCCCTCTCTCAAATTCCCACTTCACGGCTACACCTCTCCTCCAGCCGCGCTAACCCCACTACAACGTGTAGTGTTTTGAATTCCCTCCGCCGCCGCTCGTATCACAAACGATCGATTCAACGAAATGTTTTGTCAGGCGCCCCGCCACGATTTCAATCGCAGGCGCGGAAAGGCCTCATTTCTAGAGCCCGGATTTATATGCATTAAAAAACCCAGCCATATAATATGAATGAATAAAACAAAATATTATACACCCCAAAACCCACAAATATGCCCATAACATGAATGAATAAAACTTTAAATATGCTTTTTTATGTGAATTTATAAAACCTCAAATATGCCACATAATATGCACCAAAACACCTCAAATGTGCCTTGTAATGTGAATTTATGAAACCTCAAATATGCCACATAATATGCACCAAAACACCTCAAATGTGCCTTGTAATGTGAATTTATGAAACCTCAAATATGCCACATAATATGCACCAAAACACCTCAAATATGCCTTGTAATGGGAATTTATGAAACCTCAAATATGCCATATAATATGAATTAATAAAACCTCAATTATGTAATATTATATTTATTTATTTATACAAGTAAATATACCCAATTTCAAGTTTATAAGAGCTTAAACTACACCTAAGCAATAATGAATAACTGAAGCATAAATAATAATATAATGTGGGGGAGTAAGTGAGTGGTACGCACTACTTTGTAACACAAACGCTTTATTAATAAGATATCGCTTCACGATATTTGTCATTTGTATTTTTTCACTCTCTCAACTCTTACTCAATTGTTAAAGCTCTACCATCTTTTCACAATCACTAGCGTTCTCTTAGGATGGACATACATATAATAATAATTAAAAATATGAACATATTACAAAATAACAAACACAAATAAACAATTGCAACTAATGTGTCATAATGGACATAGTGTAAAAATATAAAAGAAGTTAGAAAGAATGGTAAGAAATTTAATGAAATAATGTTAGTATATAAACAAATCAAACACAGTTACCGTGATCCATATTATTTAAAAAATATTTAAATTTACTTAAGAATAGGTAAAAAGTGTCACAATTTAAGGGAATTTTATTAAGGGGCGGAGGTATTGAACTAAATTTTCAATAATTTGTACTTAATTACATTTAGCTAATAATATTTTTAGTCTGGTATTACAAAGCGGAACATGGAAATTTAGTAAGTTGATTAATTGTGGACAGTCAATTATATTATTTAAGAGTGTAAATAATTCACTAATTTCGTGGTCCGCTTGATCAATTAATACTTTACAATTAATTAAGGTTTTTAGTTGAGATGAAAAAAAGTTAATGGCACGAGAGGGATTCGAACCCACGACCTTCGGCTAGATACGTCGCTGCTCTACCACCTGAGCTATCGTGACCTCGATCCACTTGGACATCAACTCCCCATCTCAAAAGGAGGGAAAACTCATAAGGTGGGATTGAGATGGGGAGTTGATGTCTAAGTGGATCGAGGTCATGATAGCTCAGGTTACCACCTACCGAGCAGCGGCGTATCTAGCCTAAGGTCGTGGGTTCGAATCCCGCTCGTGCCATTAACTTTTTTCATCTCAACTAAAAACCTTAATTAATTATAAAGTGTAAATAATTATCAAGTCACTATTTTGTCTTCTTGCGTTTAGTAGTTGCAGTTCTGCGGATTTCTTAATAAGTTGATAAGGTGTGTCCAGTTATGTTCTAGTGATTCTAAACCAGAAAGTGCGAATAAATCCTCACTGTATGTTTTCTATTGAATCATTGAGAAATTTATGAAGTGTTCAAACAGCTGAACAGTATTCTAAAATGGGATGGACCATAGCTTTAAACAGTACAATTTATCAGCTTCCATATCCTTAAAATTTTTTGTAGTTCTATGTACGAAGCCTAAAATTTGATTAGTCTTACTAATTATTGTAGTACAATCAAAGTTAAATGTCATGTTGTTTGAGGAGGTGATTCCAAGGTCTTTAATGGTAGTTTGCTTGTCCATTGGATGTCTTGTTTAGTGTAATTGTAAAATGCTGTTAGCATATAGTCATTATGTTCATGACTATAATTAACAATTTTATTCTCATTTACATTTAGCTCTATACCATTGCATCAACACCACTCTACAATATTATTTAATGATTTGTGTAGAAGCTCAGCAACATGGATGGAAGTCATGGCAGTGTAGACCTTCAGGTCATTAGCAAAGAGGAACAAATTAACTAAATAAAAACAATATCATTAATAAATACTTTGAAAAAAAATGGGCCAAATAATGACCCCTGAGGTACACCAGACAAGTATGTCAAGTTTTTGGATAAGGAGATAATGATAACTTTATCAAATGCCTTGGCAAAATTTAAGTATATTGTGTCAACCTGTTATTGTATTGTTTGGCTTTAGTTGTGTAGTCTTGAAAAAGAGGAAGACTAGTTGCTGTTGAACGGGAAGAGTGGAAACCATGTTGTTCAGGCATTATGTAAAAATTTAGTAATAGACTGACAGTCTGTAAAATTAGAGATTCAAAGACTTTTGCTATTATCTGTTCCAGTCAAATGAGCCCGTAATTTGTAATGTCACATTGATTTCCACTCTTATGTAAAGGTATTACAAAGCTAATTATGAGGAAGGTCGGGAAAACACCGAATGGCAAAGATTTATTGAACTAAACTGCCGCCTGAACTTCAGAGAGAGCAGCTTACTCCCTGGTATGCAGTAGGGGGTTCCTTACCTAACCACGACATCTGTTTGGCATCTGTGCTGGTGCAATCTTCAGATGCCAGTACAGCAGAATGAGCTACCCTGATGCGCTTTGGCGAGCCTTAGTGATGACACTGGGAACGATACTTGTCTGGAACGATCTCGCCATGTTAGCCAGGTTGTCTACTCCACCATAATTTACCAGTAAGTACTTAAGATCAAGATATGTCAGTTTTCAACTCGTCTTCATAGACGGCTCTAAGCCAGGTGAGGTTGAGTTCACTTGGTGGTCGTTCCCACCACAATGTAGCATCTATACAGTATGGTATGCAATTTGGCACGCATTTGAGGCTCTGCTTACCTAGCCTGCACTTACTCCTTCAGTGCGACTACTGCTGTTTCTGACAGGTCCTCCGTTGACCCTCTTGTTGGAGTAGATAGCATGAATTGGAACATCTCAGCAAAACATTGATTGTTAGAATAGCAGGACATAAAGGTCTGGAGTGTTACAAAAAAGCGGATGAGATGGCTAAGGTCGGGACATCCCAACCTTCAAACTTAACAACCATGATCTGGCCCTCTAACAATAAAAATGCATCAAAAAACATGATTAAAAGAAAGTGACGGTGTCAGTAGGCCAGATTGGCAGAGAAGTTCCCCTTTATCAAGAGCAATTCGATACGTCGAGGACCTGACTTGCCAAACGGAAAATTACTTTTGGGTCAAGGTCCGTGTATGTCAGACATGTAGATAAAGGTTGCAATTCCTTGGCTCCATATAGAGAACATGTAAGAATGCCATCCAATATGAGAATTGTGCTTGAGCAGCGAGTAGTATCTGGGTCCCCTGTTCTTACAAGGAAAAAGGATAGTTTTATTGTATATTATTACTTTTATTAGTTATCAATTTTTGTTATTTTTTGGTAGAAGGTTGCAATCTTTCAAAATATAGTTCTTAGTCACAGTTTGTGAGTAACTGAGTAATACTCAACAAGCCGTGAATAAGAAATACCCATACGCACCCAACCTTCATGATTTATATGTCCTCCACCTTTCTAAATACAAATACAAACAACTTAAGCAAATATTTCTATTATATATTACTAGCAATTTTCTAATAGGTTAATTCATTAATTGTCACGTTTTCTTGTACTTCATTAAGTTAAAACCATTGATTTATGCATTGGCTGTTTCTAACAAACCATGACTCAGCTGTGATACTAGGTCTTTTATGACCATTTATTTATGTTACTTAATTATGTAACATGTGGTTTTTACTTGTTAAAACTGATTATTCCTTTTTTGCTTATGGATGTCCTTTATTTACTATCTTCCTTGATTCTGTAAATTTTCAATTTCAGAGAATATCCATTGTTAACTGTGTAAGGTTTTTTAATTTAAAACATTTTAATCATGATTCCAATTTATCTTTAATTCTTGGGTATTTTATTATTTGCAATGTATGACCAAATAAAAATATGTAGGAGGAGAAGGTCTTCGCTTTTGCTGTCTATGAGTTGGTGGTTAGTTCTATTACAGTTGGAAAAATAGTCTTCGGATATACGCATCTTGGCAAATACCTTGGAGCAATATTTGACAAATGTTGAACATGTGTGATATGTGCCAAAAGAATTGGTAAATCTTGGGCTGCTAGGATATACCAGAGATTACCAAGAAAAGATTAAACACATAAACGAGCAATCATTCTGATGATTACTTATAAAGTGCCAATATGGCGCACACCATTTCAAAAGCAATATACATATTTTACAGATGTTAGAAGAGTTATTAAGGGATATAAAACCACCTCATATGCATGAATCCTGCAGGAGAAATTACAATAGAGCTTAAAATAAGGAAATTCTTGAAGAAAAAAAATTAAATAAACTCAAGCATGAAAATACAACCGATTGCTCTGGATCTCTTGGTTTTCTATTGAGAAAGGCCAGCCAAAACGAGGAAGTTAAAAGAAACGAGGGTTGAATGGCAAAGCAATGGTCACAAATCAGGCTGAATTATTAGCCATTTTGAAAGTATTATGATGAACAGGAAATTGTTAAAAAGTTAGCTCACATGAGAAACCCCATTGCTCAATTGAGAACCCAGTAGCTTAAACGTGAGAAACCAGTAGCAAAAAAGTGACAGACCCAGTAGCTCAAATGTCATAACCCAGTCGTACAAAAGTTTGAAACCTAGTAGCACAAAAGTAAGAAATCCAGTAGCTCAAACTGAGAACCCAGTAGCTCAAGCTGTGCACCCACTATGTTTGCAAACCAGGTTCGTCTTTAGTGTGTACGCTTCTGTGCTCGGAGCGTGTAACAGTTCGCGAACATTCGAGAGCATTCC